ACTCGAATTCACTTTCTCTGCTTGGTCGATGTCACAGGAAATCTTTTAATATGTTCAAGAGATGAAGGTCTCAACTTTGAAGCATTAAGCAGCAGTCATGCTCCTGCTTTTATCCGTAATTAAAACTAATGTGAAGAAAACTTAAAATTGCAAACACTTTTATTGTTACTGCTTAGAACTCTATCCTTATCTCTATCTATGCAATGAAACTTCACTCTGATTGCTGCTCGAATTAGGCAGACTTCGAGCAATGTAGATTTTCCGAATTGACAAATAAATGCGATTAAGCTTCCCATTCTTCTTCGAAGACTCTTTTTTTTCCATACTCAATCTCAAATACTCTTATTACCAATATGTCACTTCAGTTATTAATAGTTCCCTTTTAAAATATCATACATTTAATAAGAAATATATGATTGATATAAGCCACGTAAAAGTGATTTGGTGACTCGGAATATAAATCGCATTAAATTATAGAAAATCGCGTTGAAAACCAGAAGATGCTTCTGATTTTTAGAAATAATTTCTAAAATCACGAAAAAAATTTCTTAAAAATAATAAGATTATTTTTATGTTATTGATATTTATATATATTCTTATGCTGTTGTATTTCAAAATAATTTTTTGAATTTACAAACTAATTTAATATGATTATATAAATATTAATTACAAATATAACAAAATAATAAATGTAAGAATTTTGTGCACCCAACCAAAAAAAACAAACTAGCGAATTTATTTTATTTGTATAATTTTACTTTTAAACAAAATCTACCTTGGAAGTAATAAAATAAAAACTTTGGTTTTTAGACCAACATAATCTTGAGATTTAGAAATTTCTCTGCATGTACTCAGCCTCAGGGATAGTATGTATTCTAGATCGTTAATCATTGTTTATGAAACAATATGCTGCCAACAAGAACATATTATTGATGTTAATAAGTGCAATAATTGTGTGACGCAGACCACTGCCACTGCCACATGCCACTGCCACTGCCACATGCCACTGACACCCAGCCACTCGCACAAGCATAGCTGCAGAATGACAAGCCAATTAGCTGGAGGCGCACATAATCACCAATCAAAAGGTGTGGATGCAGCAGCAGCAGCAGCAGCAGCAGCAGTAGCAGGGGCTCATAGTCTGTGGTCTCACAGCAAGCCAGCATAATTGAGTTATTTACGCTAATTGGCGCACATACACAGAGACGAGGGGACGATTGCGGACACAAGTGAAGCTCTGAGTCCGACATAAATTGCCAGAGCTGTACACCACACAGTTTATCAGAGCACGTGACTGGCAAACAAGCACACAAAATGACTGACTGACTGACTGACTGACTGACTGACTGACTGACTGACTGACTGACTGACTGACTGACTGACTGACTGACTGACTGACTGACCGGCTCACTCACTCGACCGGCTCAAAGCCTCGAGCCTCTTATCGTTATACCTCAATATTCATATTTTGTGTCAAGAAGGCGGCGGCGGAGGAAAGGAATCGTTTCCTGTTGCACTTTCCTTGCCTGCCAATTCCCAGTTGCAACACCAATTTGTATTGGGTGTGGTCTGCATGCAAAAGAAGCATTGTAGCCCAGGCCCAGACATGAAATTGCAAATATTTAATTTGGAACCGAACTGAATTTATTGGACAAAGCCAATGACCAAAATTAACTGGTCAATTGCGTTACAATTGAACATTTTCCTTGAATCTTTCTCAAATGTGCAATCCGATTTCGAATTTAAGAATTTATGATTGTGGTTTTATTTGGTTTTCAACTGTGCAACGCAATAAAGGCGACATCTTCGACAACATAAGAACTCCATTTTCTTGACCGGCATCACTAAACGAATCGATATAGCTATGTCCTTCTGTTCGTGGCTTATTTGTGATGTCAAATAGCCAAGGATGTACAGAAAAAAATTAAATTTCCACATTATTATTGTTGTTCAGGCAAAGATTATTCACATTTTGCCGAAGACAATGAAATCATCGAGTCAAAAATCCATTAATCTTTATTACAGAGAGAATGTCGATTACGTTATCACGTAAGTTAAATACTTCGCAACGTACAAAAGTATAATAATAATTTAAGCTGCGAACAAAAATTTAATAATATTTATAACTCCGATCAAAAGTCTTTATGTCAATAGACTAACTCAAATCTAAATGCGTATTTAATATTCGGTCTGCAAAGATAACCGTTCTCTTTTGCTATTTATATTCGAAACATTTTGTGCAAGGACTCGAGTGTCTACAAAAGCAGTTGAACCTGTTAGCCAAAATCCACTTAAAGCACTTTGGGACGTGCTTACCGACCTCATAATTGGAATTGTTGACAGCTGAGCCAATCCTGCATTTATTTAATTCGATGGCGAATATGAAATAAGCCTTTTAAAATAAAATATAATGAACTCGCTGCTAAAATGTGATTTCTAATTGACGAAAAGCAATTGAGCTATATGCTTGCTGTGGTTTTTAAAATGAACTCAATTTTTCAAATACAAATATGGTTTTCTCTGCGTGTATTTCGAGCCTGTGAAAGACGAATATCGCCGGGACTTGAAATATATCGGAGTTTATACCTATTAAAATTACAAAAAGAGATCACTAAACAATAATCAAAATTATATATTATTATTATATTAACATTCTTTTATTAAACCGTTTTAAATGTGATTTTCTGAATACTATTCCATACTTTCATTCTGATTTATTCCAGCAGCCGAATAGTGTTAAATATTATCACATTAGAGTTTATTAGAAAATCGTTTGTCTTGAATAACTGTCAACAACAATTTTCTTACAAATTTATTGTCGTTTATGTACAAGATTTATGCGCTGCCAATCATCGATACAAATATAATTTTTTTTGCCTCTTATCTAAACAAATCTCCATTAATGTCAACCAAAGCAAAAGCAAACTTCGACAATGACCTTTAATGCGATGAAAATAAGTCGAATTCTCTTAAGTTCACACAGTGTTTGCGTCAAATGGCATTAAATATCACAAAAGCGATAATCTGGTGCTATTATGGGAGACAACAGGATAACAGGATAACAACCATCTACTTCTTTAACCAAATTAAAGTGACCCACAGACTGTGACGTCCATAAATTCAGTTATTTCAGTGGTTATAAAAGCCACGTTCTACTCGCTCAGCAGGGCGTATGCGCAATTTCTGATATTTACGCTCAAATGGGGAAACATTTGTCGAGGCTCTAAAATTTCATTTGTTTAATCTTATGCAAAGAAATTACGATGTATACAGCAAATATAAATAGCTGGCATACAGAATGTCCTGAAATTCGATGCGAAAAATTAATAAGGAATTATGCAAAGCCAAATTAACGAAAATTCTTTTCCAAACACAAAAACGTTGCTAAGCATTCCGCTACCCTAAATATTAAATGCTGTGCATGTTTATTAACTAAGAATTAATCAATAGCAACATAATTCATATATTTTTTAATCATTTAATTGGCCCGTTTTGTGAATGTTCAAAAATCTGAAAACACAATACGCTTTGTAAATCTCCCTTTGAATCTCCCTTTAGATTTCAAATGTTGGTCAAATGGTTTTCGACTACATTTTTAATACATTTTTTATTCGGAATAGTTAATGTAATTTCGTTCCAAGAAAAAACCATTGAATTATTTATTACTTAAGATTTTATACGATTGAACCTACTTTTAATTTGTAAGCTTTCTGGAGTTTTATTCTATTTTTAGAGGGAGACTATGCAAGTTTACACTTTCTATTAAGTTGTGGTTAAAATAAGTACAAGTTTCATACAGGCAGAAATGATAATTTTAGAAAAATTATCTATATGCGAATTAAGTGATTTTCGTTTCACTTAGTTTAGTTATAAGAGTTAACAATTTATTTTTCAATAGCAGTTTCAACTGCTCATTGCAAAAGGCGCCATTCAATTTGTACGTAAATTACAAAAAAGAAGTCGGTTATTGAGCTCCAGAAAATAATAAATAAATGTATTTAAATAAATATATTTTTTTTTTTTTATATATCACATCATTTGCCATATTTATGACTTCCTTAAATATATATGTATGATTTTGTATAAAAAATAAAATATCTTGTTGCCAAAAGTAACATATTGAAAATCAAAATAAAATCATTAAAAGAATTATTTTAAGTTCAGTTTGTTTTGACCCTTCGATTTTGTTTCCAAAAAACTTAATCGAGATATAAAAATAATTTTGGCTTTCAGCAGATTAACTCCTGTCTAAAAGAGTATAAAATCTTCGGTGTGCAGTTCTTTCTTCTATCTTGTTTTAAGTTGGGAAAAATAAAAATGCTTTAAACTTAAATTGTTGTCTACATGAATTGTTAGCTAGATAAACGTGATTTAAGATTTAATTAACGCCAACCGACCTTTTTTATATTTCATTTCATATTTGTTTGTTTTTTTTTTTTTAAAAGAATGCAGCGTTAAATAGATAAGCATGAAATATGAATATTTAATGTCAATAAAAGTGGCCAAGAATAGAAAAGAACACATTTTCAGCTTTCGGGGCAATTTGCGTGAAATGACCACTGAGATAAGATGTAAAAACCAAAAATATAAAAATCCTTTTTTTATTCGGTCCCAGTACACCTTTCTGTGGAAATGTCCTTGCAATACAAGCACAATTATAATTTGTAGGCGACATACCAAGTTTCAGTATGATATTTAAAAGCGATTCAAGAATTGTCTTTAAGTCTGTCGCAGCCCCTTAAACGTTAAGGAGAAAAAGGTAGAAGCTTATTTATTTATAGATGCGTACAGAAATGGCTTAGAGGCTCGCTGCGAAATGAAGGTAAATATTTATGCAACCCTTTTTCTGCTCGTTTATTGCTCCAACTGTCAAACAGTAGGCCAAACACACACGCAATCAGCAGCAGTAGCAGGAACACGCACAGGAACTGGGAACTGGGTCCCCGGGGTCCCTGTCTGATTGCCAGATATGCGTTCCACATTCGAGGATTCAAACTTACCTTTCATCCAGACGCATGCTGCTGCGGCTAATGTCACTCCAGACGGACATCGAACGTGGTCGCTGGAAAAAGGATTTGGAGAATCTTCGAACCGTTGGCAACTGCTGCGGCGGATAGCCCGCCAGATCGTTGAGCTCCTCATGGAAGATGACGTTGCGGGTGCCGCGGGTGGGCGATGCTATCGATGGCATCGAATAGCTGTTCGTGTTCGTATTGGTGTTCGTTTGATTATCGTCCGACATGCCCAGAGCTGTATAGCTAACTTGTAGATTATGTGTCATCTCTCGGATATGTATATTGTTTTAGAAACTCTTCTCTCTTCTCGTTTCTCTCTTCAACACTCAATTGCTTTTTTCACTAAACATTTTCACTCGCTTTGTGTTTTCCACTTTGCACTAAAAGCGAATAACATAACATTTTATTTTACTGTGTTTTGTTGTTGTTTTTTGTTGTTTTCTTTTTTGCATTTTCCGCAGCAGTGTTTTCTTTTACAGCGCTCGTTAAACACTACAAGAAATGATTTTCTCCCAGTCAATTTTGCTTTTTCATTTGGTTTTGCAGTTTTTAATTTGATGCTCGCATTGCAGTTCATTAAACGCAATCAACTGCCAGCTTGGCTAATAAAAAAACAAATAATTGTCTTTGGCAGACATGAGAGCTGCTGCACCAAGTGACAATGATTAATCGATCTGATCTGACCCGAGGGCCAGCTTCCTGCGTGTTGATTGTGCTTATTGATATTAATTGGCGCAAAACAAATCCCAAAAAAAAAAAAGAAAAAACGTCATAATCAACCTCGTTTTAATTTGTCACGTGCTGGCAGCAATTTCTTGTTATCGCAACATCAGCACGTCAACAAGGCTAAAATGTGTTGGCCAAACTCGAAACGAAAAGCATTTAAAATGCTCATGAATTTCTAATGAGTATCGCTTTGAGAATATCTGGTATTTTGAGGGTGCGACTATTTTGCATGTCCCACATTTCATATGCATAATGAAACACGATTCCAAAAATATATATATATATACATATTTATATATATACAACAACTGCAGTGCTAGATGAAGCTGAAGCAAAATCTCAAATTAAAGCGTTTCCACATTTCAGTTGCTGCTGCTTCGCTGTTGTCCCAATTTCAGTTACAGATGATTATGACACTCTGCTTGTATACCCTTTCTACTAGGGAACGCTGGTCATGCACGACTCAAATTTACATATATAAATATTATATTAGAAAACACACAAGATTTTCTTTGCTGATTTAATACTTAAAACTTAAATTAAAATATTGATTTTTTCTGTCTACAGTTCAAGTCATATATTAATTATAACAAAACATAAAATGCAACTTAAAAATTAAATTATGTAAAATTAAAAATGAACAATTAAATTAAAATTTAATTAATTTTATATTGAATAATAAAATGCTGAATGTGAAAGTATTAAAATGTGAAATGGTTCAACATTTATTGCAAGGATTGGGGAAACGCTGATGAAAATTCTAGGAGGAAACACTTATGCGATATATAATATACAGGATATATAATATATGATGCACTCCAACTGTACAAGTATGCGGATCCTTCTAAGTGCTATATAGGATGCCAATTGCATCACAATACGAAACTGAAGTGTTTGCCAAGTGTTTTTATTGGAACATTTGGTCTGCGTTTTAGTTTCGTGCATTTTACGCCAAGATATATAAAGAATGTTATTATACGACCACTTTTAAGCTACTTGGGTTTTATTTTTACTCTTTAACGGTCGGCAGCAAGCGCCACAGCTGAGTTGAAAGGGCTATTCAGAATTATACAGCATTTACTCAAAATGATCTTTGGAGCAGTCTTGAGGAAGTTGGCAACCTTCTTCAAGAAAAGGCAAGCAAATTAATGGCCAACCAAGTGGACCTGCATTTAAATAGGTTTTAATAAGTAACTCAATTAAAAATGTAATCAGAAAAATGCGCCTAACTGTGGCCACGCCCCTAAACGTTAACAGCCCTCGCTTTATGTGTTGGCGACGCCTTAAAATAAACTCCAGCTAAGCACGCGATTTGCTATGCGGCTTTTTCCACGCATTTATAACCTGAAAGTGACAGACAAATAAGAAAGCCAAGCTATATTTGTACATACAAATATATATATATATATGTATATATATATATATATACATATATTATATGCAGTCTTTATAGCCTGTATCTATGCAAAATATCTCTTAACTGGTATGAGAAAATTGTGAATTCGTTCCTATAAAGCATTTATGTATGTATGTGTGTGTGTGTGCTTGTAAGGCTGGTTTGCTTGGCGCATAGAGATGGCAAAGGCAGTACATACTTTCGCTTATAATACGCAAAAAGCGAAGCAGTTTAAAATATTGGTACATTTTTAACAACCGCTTGTTGACATATGCATATGCACATTGTAGCAGTCCACTAGTGTAGTACTAAGACTGTAACATAACATCTGTAACTTAACATACAACAATGTACTTAACATATAATATCGATATCGATCACGCAAACATTGTGAATTAAGAGATATAACCAGATGTTTTTGTGAAATGAATATATATTTAGTTTTGACTGCTACAATAAGTAATAAATGTTGAATATTATTTAGAATAGCATTGACTCATTTAACTGATCGGTGACGTTGTGCACTACAATAGATATACTCGATACTTCGGGGGAAAGCATCGATGAATCGATCTTCTCTAATGGCGAACAAATAAATATGTATCGATGTCAAGTCGATGTTGCGCGCATCACTAACTCGCATCTCTATTTGCCGGCAAGACGAGTAGAGTGATAATTGGGTTCGCGGATTTCCGCAAACAACAGCCGCATTAATGAGGCTCGTGAAGCCCGGTTGGGTGCACCATGATGATAAGCCAATCTTCTCGGTGGATGTGCATCAGGATTGCACGAAATTCGCGACTGGCGGGCAGGGCACCGATTCCGGCCGCATTGTCATTTGGAATCTGAAGCCGGTGCTGTCCGAGAAGGATGAGCTGGATGCCTCGGTGCCAAAGATGCTCTGCCAAATGGATCAGCACTTGGCGTGCGTGAATTGTGTGCGCTGGTCGCAGAATGGCCAGCTGCTCGCCTCCGGTTCGGATGATAAGCTAATTATGATCTGGCGAAAGGCGCTGGGACCCAGCGGTGTTTTCGGCACCGGCGGCATGCAACAGAATCCCGAATCGTATAAATGCATACACACACTGCGCGGCCACGATGGTGATGTCCTGGATCTAGCATGGTCACCCAACGATTACTTCCTCGCCAGCTGTAGCATAGACAATACGATCATTGTGTGGGATGCGCGGGCATTGCCGAATGTGCTGCACACGCTCAGGGGGCATACGGGTCTGGTTAAGGGCGTTGCATGGGATCCGGTTGGACGTTTCCTTGCCTCCCAGTCGGATGATCGCAGTATTAAGATATGGCGCACAACAGACTGGACGTGCGGCACAACGATAACGGAACCGTTCGAACAGTGCGGCGGTACAACGCACATACTACGTCTCTCCTGGTCACCCGATGGCCAGTATCTGGTGTCGGCGCACGCGATGAACGGCAGCGGACCCACCGCCCAGATCATCGAGCGTGAGGGCTGGAAATGTGACAAGGATTTTGTGGGGCATCGCAAGGCGGTCACCTGTGTCCGTTTCCACAGTTCGATATTGACGCGCGACATGGTCGGCGACAGTCCCAGCAAGGCCATGCAATATTGTGTGATCGCTGTCGGCTCACGGGATCGCTCGCTGTCCGTGTGGCTGACGGCGCTCCAGCGTCCCATGGTCGTCATCCATGAGCTGTTCAATGACAGCATCCTGGACATGTCTTGGGGCCCGCAACAATGCCTGCTGATGGCCTGCAGCGGCGACGGCACCATCGCCTGCCTTCAATTCACCGAACGGGAGCTGGGCACCCGCGTCTCGGAGACGGAACGAATCAGTATATTCAAGCGCAAATATGGCGGCTATATGGAGCATTCCGAGCACACCGCCAGCAAACAGATGGCGACGACGCTGCCCGAACCGAGCAGCTATACTCTGCCCAACGCGGCCATGGAGCGTCGCCTACCTGTCCAGGGACAGGGCGTCAGTACACCAGCTCGCGCCATCAGCAAACAGACGGAGACACGCACCAAGGATGGCAAGCGACGGATTACGCCCATGTTTATACCACTCAATGAGCTAAACGAGCCCATCTCCAGCATTGGCAGCAGCATCATTCCCACCAGCAACAATGATAACAACGGCAACAACAACATAATCACCACCAGCAGCAGTAGCGTGGATCCACTGGTGAGATCGCAAGAATCGCTCCACTCTCGAGCGGAACCGGTTGGACGTCTGATGTTGCCGCCATCGCCAGCTGCAACGGCAGCGATCCAACCAAGGCGCAACTCAATGCAGCTGCTGTGCGACGTGAATGGCAGCAATACAGTGGGTCCCAAACTGCAGATAACGGCGAATAGTAAATGTGAATTTACGAAATCCTCGCAGGACTATCGCATTCATGTGCAGAACGGCCATCTGAAGACCGGCTATGGCATGGTGGCCAAGGTGACGGCGCAACTGGGTCGAGAGCTGCTCTGGGATATGTATGTGGGCTCGCCGGTGATCAATGTGAATCTGTGCAGTAAATATGTGATGCTCTGCTCCCTGGATGGCAGCATGCGACTCCAGGCCATGCAGACGGGCTCGCCCGTCTTTCCGGCGATCACGTTGACAAGCGCCGCTCTGCATTGCACCTTCAGCAGCGATAATCAGCTGGTGGGCGTGCTGACGGACAGTGGACTGTTGCGCATCTGGGATATTGCGAAGCAGCAAGTCCGCTTGTCCACCAATTGCTTGGAGCTGCTCAATAAGCATGGCATGACGCTGCAGTTTGTTATCACGGATCAGGGCATGCCGCTGATTGGTTTTCCCAGCGGCCATTCCTATTCGTATTCAACGCCATTGAAATCGTGGCTCGTCCTTGCCACCGGCGATGCCATCATGTTCAATGGCATACGGGGCTCGTTGCCACGCGATCTGGAGCATGTGCATCGCAAGTTTCCTCTGCTGAGCATGCAGACCGGCACACATAACTATCTCAGTCTGCGTGGAGCAGTGGAAATTGATCCCGAAAGCTGGCAGCAAACGGCCAAGGTGCTGTTCCTCGAGAATCAGATTAAGCTGTGCGAAGCGCTGGAAGCTTTCGAGGAACTGAAGCACTGGCATATGATGATGACCTTTCAATTGGCCAGCTACGGCACCGAGAAGCGTTTGCGTCTCTTTATGGACACTCTGCTCGACAGCGAGTTGCCGGAAACGATGCAGACCAAATCCAAATTCGAGCTGAGGCAATGCGTCATGGACACGCTGGAGCCGCACACAGAATGGGAGCATATTTACAACGAA